AACTGCCCCACCCCAGGCTGTGGTCCCAGGGCAGACACGGTGGCTGTCAACTAAGTATCTCTGCCTACCAAATAGCTGAGTCTTTGCTTTCAGATGGTGAATGGTTTTCAGCTCTGGACAATCCCTAAAATCAGAATGGATTACACTTTCAATTTTGTTTGCTCAGTTGGGCTTGGCATTAGTCAAGTTTGTTGGCACAAATACCCAACTGAACTGCTCCTGGGCGTGCCTCGATGCTGCTAGAGATCAGTGCAATTTGAGATTACAAGGAGTAAGTGGGAGATATTTTTGGAAATGATGCCTGAGAGTTTGAATGGTCAATCTACGACAGCTTCTTGAGAAATGTAAAAAAAAAACTTGTTAGGGGTAAAAGTACCTGTAGTCATGGGAAATTTGCTTAAAATCAGTTGGAATTTAACTGTGTGATCAGAAATGTAATTTAGTATTGTCAAAAACTTGATTTATAACAGTCTGACTTACATTTATCTGACTGTGTGAGGTTTACCCACTGGTGATCTCTCCAACGAACAGGACCTATTTTCAGATCCCTGGCACGCCTGGGAACACACTGCTGTCCTCCATATAGCTCTCTCCTTCCCAATGCACACAGAGTGGGTGTTGGCCAGAGAACATGAAGGAGCTCTAAGCAGCAGCATGAATTAATTCTGACAAACCTACAATATGTATGCAACTTTAGGTCACATCCAGCAGATGCACCACAGACTATGGAAGGAGAAGTCTCCTCAAGAGACAGTGAATATTCAGAGGGCAGCTGGGGTCAGAGCAGCCATAGTGCGAGACAGAGGGAAGGGGACCCAGAGCTCAGCAGTCCACTTCCTGCTGGGCTGTGCTTGCCACTTCCCTGAGGAAGGAGGAGCTGCTTCTGCCCCGCTGTGAGTGCTGGCTTTCTGCATCTGGGATGCTCATTAATCCATGGTGGGACCAGGTCATCCCACAGATCTCTATGGGCTAAATCTGCTGAAGTATAGGGTGATCACATGTCCAAGTTTGTTGGGGAATGTCCTACTTATATCTGTTGCTCCAACTTGATCATTATTAGACCACCCAGGCACTCAAATGTGCCCCAGTGTGGAAGATAAACCACCCTTGCTATACTAATGGCACAACTCCACTCACAGTCTTCTAAATGCCTTGCCATATGTTTCTGAGTCTCTAATTTTGCAACGCGTTTTCAAATAATAATTTACTTTTAAATGGATGATTTTTTTAAGGCTATGTCACTGATTTTCTTTTTTTGTTTGTTTTTACGTTTGGCAAAGCCATTTAAAGCAGAAACACGGGAAGGTCATTTTGGGACCAATCATCCATAAATCAATGCGTTAATGTGACTGTTTGGGTGTTAATTTCTTTGCTTCAACTTAGGAAACAACAAGCCCCAAGGTGCCAGATTTCATATTATTTTAGAGAATATAAACCACTGGCTTGCGTAAACAATAAACAAGTAAAATGAAGAATTGTTGTAACAAATGAAGCAGACTTAATAAATTTTGAATATATTAATCAAGCTATTCAAAGGGTATTTTAAGTCATCTTGTTCTTCTTAGGCTTTATTTACTATGTCTATAAATTGTGGGCTAGGAGCAGATGACTTCAAAGAACCCTGTCACATGTAAAATATGATTCGGGGACGATGGACTATTAATGAGGCCAACTTAAGCAATGTAAGGAACCGTCAAAAAAGGCCAATCTTTACTTTTCTCCCTTTTACTCACTGTCTCAAAAAGGAAGATGAGACCTCAGTTTTGATGTCTCCCAGAATTTTTAAATTATAATAAATTTAAAAAGGGAAGCACCATTTTATATCCGTAGAAGTTGAGTTATTGTTTTAGACAGAATCTTAAGGAAATCCTACTAACTACTTGTTACCATAAAGAAATTTACTTTCTTTTTAAAAATCCAATGATTAATATATCCTTTTCCCTCAAAATGGATTATTTTTCTTTGGGAATATATTACAGTTGATATTCGGTGACTCAAAGGACTGAACAGCGCCTTTGGGATTCTGCATTTACTATTTATAAAAGTACAAAGTTTTCATAAACTTAATCACAGTGACAATGTATTTCCCCAAAGAACTGAATAATGAAATATCACATGATCCACAGTGACTACATGGCCCTATGGTAAATCTTAGGTTAAATCCATTAAAAAAATTTAAAATCTTCCCAAAGTGAAAAGTTATGCCTTAATATACCATTTGCTCTGGCTTCAGAATGCAAAGTATTTGTAGTCACTGAATTTAAAGAATCTGGATTTTTATTGGACAAGAGTGAAATTTCAGGATACAAGAGAGGTAGCTCCCTTCTCACTGGTACACAGATGTTAAATCACACTATGGAATTTAGCACAGTATCTTTTTCCATTCTAGCCCACATGTAGCTGTTGTGAGCTGAATGGCATCTCCTTTCGATTTATATACTGAAGTCCAAACTCCCAGTACCTCAGAATGGAACTGTGTGTGTAGAGAGGATCTTGAAAGAGGTAATTAACATTAAATGCAGTCATTAGAATGGGCCCTAATCCAACAAGATAGTGTCCTCAGAAGAAGAGGAGATTAGGACACAGACAGATGGAAGGAAACAAGGAGCAAGCACAAAAACAAGATGGCCGCCTGCAAGCCAAGGAGAGAGTCCCGGGAAGAGGACAAGACTTGCTGACACTTGGCCTTGGATTCAGCAATCCCAGAGTGTGAGAGAACATATTTATGTTGTTTAACCCATCTAATCTGTTGTGCTTTGTCATGGCAGCCTAGTAAACTGATATAATGATGAACTTTGAAAATCATATTGTAAGTGTGCAGAAGAGCAATGTTTCAGTGAAATAAATCTCACACACACACACACACACTCACACACAAAAATCACATTCTGTCATTAACAAATAACAGTAAAGTATAAAATCAATTTTAAAATTGGGGGGGTAGAAGAGACTATTTGTGATGGTAAAGTCTTCTAATACCTATTTTCAGAAAGAAGAGCTATCACCCTTCCTCTTCACAGTTGACTATTTATTTTTAAAATGGCATCAGGGACCTGGATGGAGGTTTGGATGGGCTCTGGCTGAATGTCCAAGGCCTGTCCTCCAGTTGGGTGACTCCCATGTACGTGGCCTCTGTGCACAGAGTGCAGTACCCCACTCCTCACTCACAATGTCCTTGAACCGGGACACAGACAAATTTGTGAATGCAACTGACAAAAAATATACAGAAGAATGAGTGACGACTGATCTTAAAATGCATCCTTATTTACTTCTAAGGAAACTCATGAAGGCTTTGGAGTAAAGGATCTCATATCCTAAAATACTGGGCAGTGGGTACAGAGAGAGAGGAACAAAAAAGGAAAGCAAGGAAGAAAAGAGAAAACCTAAAAAGAAAAAATACTGAGTTGGGCAAAATATTTAATATTAATTGGCAGATTCAAAATGAAATTTATAGAAAAATAATCTATGATCAGATTTGTGCAAATTGACTCTGAGATCCTTTCAGGCAGTCATTTGCTAATGCTTTTTGTTTTGTGTTTTTAAGTGCATAGAGGAGATGTTTTCAAACTGAGGACAAAATGCTTATACATCATGCCAAAGAGGGTTATAGATAATATCAAACCAGGACTCAAAATCATTATTACATAAGTATCTCTGACACTAGGCACTCAAGATCCTACTGTGTATTTAGGAGCAAAATGTCAGTCAAACATTTTTGTGGCTGATTTTCACTGTCCCAGCTTAAACTTGCCAGGACTCAGCTGTTCCACAGCTAACAGATGTTTACTATGGGTTATGCACAGCCTCAGGTTCTGAGAGCACAGTGAAGAACTAGATGCCTTTATGTAGTCATGAGTTTCACTTTCTCCCAAGTTGTGATAAACAGATAACAAAATCTGTGAACAAACAAAGAAGAAAACAGAGTGTGGCTTAGTGAAGTGTGACTTGGCAATTATGAGAGGCAGCAGAGCTAGTTTTCAAGGGAGATTGAGGAAGCCACTCTAAGTCTAAGACGACATTTAATTTGAGACCAGAAGAAGATAGCCAGGTAAGACTCTGGGATGGCTGTGAGAGGTTTTAATGAAATAAGAGGAACACATGTAAAGGCACTGAGGCAGGCTAGGCCAGTGTGACAGAGACATGTAGGGCTGGAGTGTGATTAGTGAGGAAGACATGCAACGCAAACATCTGGAACCCCAGAGCTGGATGACACTGCACAGCTCCTCATTTACTGTAATTTAAGTGGCCCTTCATCATGCTTCTCAGTGATCACCCTGAATCCGAGGATGAAAAAGGATATTTTAAGGCAAGAAGATCTTATCCCAAAAAAGGGTACGCAGATGGCCTCTCAGAATGGTTCTCTCAAAGGAGACAGCAAGAAATGCTAAGAGTCAAGATAAATTTTGGAAATAGAGCCAGGTGAACCCGCTGACAAACTGGATCAGAGATTTAAGTGGAAAGTGAGAATCTGAGAAGTGTATCCACACTGATAGAGCGTGGTTTTATGTTGAAAGCCTTCTGTGTTTGTTGAGGTACAGAATATCCCTCAGATCAAGCTTTGTGTTGACATGCCTAAATTTTATTGATACAGCGGAGATAAATGCCATCTCTCAAAAAGTTCATCAAATTCAGTAAATTACTAGTAATTGTGTTGCCACACTGAACCCCCACAGAAATCCGGAGTGGATTACATTGAAGGTTAGATTCCAAGGCATAGAGACAGTTAGAGGCACTTTCAGATAAGACATCAAACATAGGAAGCCACCCCTTTTCTTTTGGATACCCACCCACTCAGACTTCTTTCTCAATGGAAATGTCCAGAGCCAACAAAGAATATTTCACAAGTAGGACCATTTTATTTTACCAGATACCAAGATGGAGGATTCTGCACTGGCTAGTGAACAAAAACCTACACCAAAGCAATTCTTTAGTCTTGAAATGATAAATTTTGTGTTTTCTTGTCAAAGCAAGAGTTACACTTTTGAGCTTATGATGTTCTTTATCACACAGCATTTATAATCTTTCTAGTAAATGCTCTCTATATATGTGACTCTCTTTTGCAATTCCTGTAAACATAGTGGTCCTCAGGACTTAACCTGAAATATATTATCCTTTTTTCTAGTAAGTGTCCATGCATGAAATTCTTGTGTATTGTCTTGGCCAGGCTGTAGTACCCAGTTACTTAATCAAATGCTAATCGACATATTTCTGTGAAGATATTTTGTATGTGGTTAATATGTGTAATAGTTGGCTTTAAGTACAAGACTCTGCCCTCAATAATAGAGGGCCTGGTCCAAACAATGATTGTCTTAAGAGCAGAAAGTAAGGTTTCCCTTACAGTTCTGCTGTAGGAGCACAGCAACAACTCCTGCCTCAATCTGCGGGGTTTTGGACTTGTCATTTGGAACAAAATCTTTAATGACATAAAATAAGCAGCTCTGTATTGTTTTTGAGTCTCTGGAGAACGCTCTCATAGTACATTTGCCCAGAGAGCTGCTTTGATGTGCACCCTCTGATAAGGTCTATCTGGCCAAAGTACACCATCAAATTCAGATACAGGTGCTGCTGGAGGAAGTGGCCCCATGACCTGCGGAGAGTTCTGTGACAACAACCAGAACGAAGCTCCAGCAAACATAGGCACTGAGCGTGTTTAGATATCACCTCCACTGAATTGTCACTTTCTCATCTACAAAATAGAGCCAATACTTGCTTCTTCAGGTCTTTGTAATGATTAAATGAAATGATTTACACCTCATGCCTGGCTTGTAAGGCAATCAATATTAATGAACAGTCTTCTGCTATTCAACTTCTTTTAGGTTTGTTTCTCTTGTGAATTCTCTAAGCCTAGGTCTATCGCTCATTTAATGGAAATTGGCTATCATCTTTTCTCTTATTCCAAACCCATAAAGAAGCCGGTGAAGCACAAGGGGCTATCTCTTCAGCGTTGCGGTGCTGCTGTTTCTCCCAGGTTGTGTTCCGCTTTACTGTGTAACAGAGAAGAGAGACGAGCCTTAAGATATGAAGCCTATGGGACTAAGGTGGAAATCTGTTCTCTGCCAGCCCCTTGCTTCCACAGCAGTGAACAAAATCAACCTTTTTCTTGCACTTAAGAGTTCATATGACAATGCCTACTTCATAAGGGATAGGGTCCATTTTGTGCTTTCCACTTCCCTATCTCAACAAATCTATGAAAATGGTTAAGACATTGTTATGAAAATCTACTCTGTTTGCTCACTGCCAGGCAGGACCTTACCCAAAATTTGTTTCCCAGCTGACTCAAAACAAACTCTGTTGAACCATAATTTAGTAATTACCCCAAACAACAACAAACCTCAAAGAACTTTATGACTATGCTTTCAATTGCTAAAAGTGATATCAGGGAAGTGTATTTTGCCTCAGTAGGACTGGTCAACTTTCTCTTAACTTACCAATGAGAAACCACAGGGCTGTGTTTTTCAAGGACAATGGCATGGTCATTCTGAGGACTTGATGCTAATCTGCGCAGTTCTCTGTGATGGATGAATTCTTTTCCCCGAGCCTTTGACTATGAGACACCTTAAGCACATTGACTTGTTTTTTGTTTGGTAAGAGGGTAGGGGAGAGGCACATAAACAACTTTTCACAGAAGTTCCAGTATGTATGAGATGCAGGCAAACCTTCTTTGGGCCATCTCAGGCTAGGGATGCTGTTGCTCTTTCTCCTGTCTTCCACAGAACACCACAGCCAGCTGAATCTTGTAGTCCAGCGCTATTTTTTACATCAATCAGTGCACTACTGTGTCTCTTCTTTTCACAAAACGTTAATCTTAACGATTAACTTATCAGTGTTCAAGGAAGTTTATCACAATGTGAGAAACTGGTAGACAGAAAAAAATTAGCCCAAATTAACAAAGGGAAGCAGAGGAAAAGAAAAGCATAACATGCTTAAGTGGATTTAATTTGCTTTTCGATCATCCTTGAGCAAAGGGAAGAGGAGAGATTCTTGGCTCAGCACAGGGGTGAGGACGGTTGGCAAGCCTGTGGGTGTGTGGGCCATTCAGACTGCACTGTCTGGACATCAGGCTTTCCAAGTAAAAAATCTAGGGCCTGACAGGAACAAGGAGAACAATAGCAGCCTGAAGGGTCTGCTACAATTTGTGGTCAGAAGAATTACGTGAAACGGCACCAATGCTCTTAATACCAAAGCCAGCTTCCTTTATTTCTCCATCTCAATGTTAACATTTTTCTGTGCAGCCTCTTTTCCGTCATCTGGGCTACATTAATGGAGAAATGGGGAGAAACCACAGCAATTATCTGGAAAATTAAGTGGAAAAAAAATCAAATTACCTTCTCCTGAAAGATCTGGGTAAATCTAAAAGCCGATATTTCCTATGATTGAGATGACTTCAACTTTTCAGAACATATAATTTCTTTCAGGAGCATAAAGTTACATTTTCAAAAGCACAGGCATCATAAATTTTCTTTTCTAAATGGTAGGCTATTATTGAGATCTGCATTAATTTGATTTTATTAAAATCTAGTCTCTTGCAACTGTAGGAAATGTAATGGTTCAATGGATATCGATTTTCGATCAAGGCTGAAATGTATATATTGAACAAGTCTCACAAGCCTATCTTTATTATCATTATCACTGTCTGGTGCTAATCTGAACAGTTACATACATGGTTTCACTTTTCTCAAACCTTGGCCATAAGGTTGAAATGCAGAACTGAAATCCAGCCTTTCACTTATTGAGAGGTGCTTCAGGGAGCCAGGCTGTGCCCCTCCAGAGGAAAAAGGATCTGACTGCAAATTGGCTCACAGAAAGCGGTGCCTTCTTACAGTTTTCTCAGGGCCTCTGTATTTTCTATCTGAATCCTGAAGGCAAGTATTTTCATTCTTCTAACAGTATAAAGTCTTAAATACTCATAATTCTAGGAGACCAGACATCACGTTAATCTAGGATGGTCTGACATTATACGTGTTGGCTTATTTGATTTATTAACAAGGCCATTTCCATACTTTAGAGTGTCTGGGACTGGATGATCTATTATACTGGTCACAAGATACGCTGTGACTAGCATAGTAGTCTTAGATGATCTGTCCAATCTCTATTTTCTCATTAGCAATATTAACTCACAGGACAAAACTGAATTGCTCTCAAAGATACATATTCAACAAGAGTTAGGACGATTACTTGGCTATATTGCATTTCTTTGGAAAATCCACTTTGAGATTAGAAATACCCACAAATAATTGGTATCTTTTAAAGTGAATAAGTGTAAATAAGCATTAAAAGGTATAAGAGATAATTTGCAATAAGAAGAAAAGGTGCAAAGTGGAAGGGAAAATGGGAGGGGTAGGGGAAAAAAGATGGGGTTGGAATTAACATGAGAAAAAAAAATGGAAACAAAAGTCTTTGTAGATAGGGAGGGGTGGAGGGGTTGAAGGGAGGGCAGGGGAATGGGGAAAAAATAAAAACCAATATGGATTAGGTAAAGGTGGAATCTTCCAATAATGAATGTCATTATATTGTATACCTTAAATGTACCAGTAAAGTTAATCAAAATTTTAAAAATAAAATGATCAAAGAATGTATTGCTTTTAACGTCTCATTTTTTATAAAAACTCAAATTCTTCGATGCTTTTCTCTCATCGAATCACCTGTGTCTACACCTAGGACTCTGTTTCCATTTTGGCAAAAGTTGGGTCAGGGCCCGGTGCAGGCTCTGAATAGACAAGAGAGTAAAGCGAGAATGGGCAGATTTCTCCTGCAGCGGGATAGGTAGCAAATATTTTAGACTTTTCAGGCCACATAGTATCTGTCACAGCTGTTGAATTCTGCTGTTGTTGGGTGAAAGCAGTCATTAGCACATAAAGGAGTATGGTTGTGTTCCGATTTATTCACAGAGCAAGAAGCAGGCCAGATTTAGCCTGGTGGCAGTAGTCTGTCAGTCCTATCAAATTAGGGCACTCACCTGTTCCTTCCCACTGGCTCTTTACTGCAAACTTGCCTTTGGGATGCCTAGAGCACCTCGTAGCTAACAAGGCATGCTTGGTTTCCATGACAGAAAACCACTGAAATCGGCTTGCTTTTGAGAATCCTATCACACTTCAAGATTTACTCATAATTCATCAATTTTTTCCCTCAGGAAATCTATTCAAAAAGGGAACCTATAGCATGGAAACATTATGGATCTACAGAATGTCTTGATTTCAAATGGCATGCCCTTGAGTAAGAAAATACTTCTTTAGAAGAGCTTACCCAGGAGAAATGCCTGTAAGATCATAAACTGATTAAATGCAAAGCATTTGAGAATAAATATTTTGATGGTTTTTGCCCTGTTATTATTCTTTGGCTGTAAGTCCTTTTTCTCTTGGTTTATTATATGTATGGTGGTAATTCCCTAAGTATGCCTTAACATCAATAAGTCATGCAGGTACACATGCACCTTTGATAAGGCAAAAAAGTTAAGATATGTAGTTATCTCCTTCTAATTTGAAATTATCTACTCCTCTACTTCATACCACCTTCCATATTTAAAGAACCACACAATTGCCCATAGGTGCCTCGTGAGACAAGCCCATAGAGCAAACTTCAAGCTGATGTTAATGATCTGATACATCATTTCATTGCACTTAACTCTGAGTCTCAAGGAGGGCTTTTTAACGCAAATTAATAATGCTTATAGGAAATCCACCTTCAAGTTTATCTTATAAAAAGGTGCACAGATAACTGTAATATTTGGCTCAGGCATATCTTTCTTAGCGACCTTTATATTTTAAGACTTACAAATACTGGTTCCTGGGAATCATGTTGGGCTTCCGCATTTGACATACATTTACAACTCTGAGGTTACAAAATGAATCACCTTCATTCAAAACATACATATGCTCTGAGCCACAAATGATCCCATCTGCGGAGAAACAGCAGTCAAAGGATGATCTAAGAAGGGGCTTTCGCTTTCATTTTTGTGACTGCATGTTTGCAGTATGCAGTGATTCCATTCCTCCTGGAGAGTTGGCCCACGTACATAATACATCTTCATTCCTCCTTCATCCCCTTTCTCTCCCCTCCGTCACTCCCTCCATCTCTTAGTCCCTTTCTCTTTTGCAAAAGATCTTTTTATTTTGCTCTTTTCTTTTGGGTTTCTCCTGAAAGACAAACTAGTTTTTCTAGTCCTCTGAGTGCTGCCACCTCTTTCTTCCAGCCCCATTTTTCAGAAGCCTTTAATTCATGCAAGGTAAAGCCAGAGACATCTGGTCCCACTCAGTGCTTTTGAGGGATCCCTGGAGGAGCAGGCAAGGACTATGGAGAAACAAAACACACCAACAAAACTCAGCCCTGGCATAGCACGGAAGCAGCAAAGAGTTGCCACAGAATCACATGTATGGCCTCTCCTGTCCAGGACTGTTAATCAGCAGCCTAAATAAAGAAATGTCTTTAAAACTTTTATGAGCTATTTGTATGAAGGCATCACACACACACACACACACACACACACACACACACACACCACACAGAGTTAAAAACATTTCCCACAAGAATGCACCCTGCTTGCTCCCTCTGGCTTGTACCAAAGCCAAATTTCTATCTGTAGAGGAACGACCTTTTGTATTGTTTTTCTCCATCTCCTCTCTCTAGGTTACAAACAATAGCTTTTTGTTGTAAGGCAGGAATAACGGAGCCCAAAGTCAGCACACAATTGTGTGATCACTGGTTAACCTTGAATTCCAAAGTTGTTTAAAAAATAAAAGATAAAATCTTCACAAAGACTGTCATCCAGCTCATATGCCTAAAAGAAAGGAAATCTCAGGGACTTGTAAGCAAAACCACCTGACCATCCAACTCACTAGGCTCTGGCAATGTTTCCATAAGGATTTCCACGTAAGCATACTTTTTCTTGCTTTATTGGCTCATCTTTAGTGAAGGGAACTATTTTTAAAGTTTCAGTTATTCATTGCTCTGAACATGGGGATAATTAGAATATGAACTCATAAAACACTGTGGTCTGAAAACAGAACATTCAACAAACATCATTTTTTAAACATTCTTTTACATCCTTATAATCTCCTAATCTCTTAGAAGATGTCTACCAGCTATCTCTCATCTCAGCCAGGAGGTGTCACTGTAGTTGGATTAAATGATTAGCAGCATAATTTGAGATAGCCTGAGAACAGTCCAAGGGTTAGAAACTTTTCTATATATGATTACAAATGCATAGCAAGGCATCTGGAGCATAAGTAGAGTCTGTCTACCTATTTCTGCTTTTTGAAAATAGAGAATATTTGTGCAATAAACAATCTGGAAAATGAATCTTCCTTCTTTCATCCCTCCCTGTACCCCTCCCTCCCTTCTTTCCTCCTTGCTAAAATGAAATCTATTGGATATATCTGGGTGTATAAAGGCTTTAGGAGATAGGAAGGAGAGAGCTCTGTTTCTAAACTATGCATCGCCCCTGAGATGAAAACAGCTGGGGTCCAAACAGATTGCACTCAGCAAGGCGCTGAGCTTACAGGTGCAAGGGGCTCATGCTGTAGCTGTGCAGTGCTGTTTCTTCCTGAGATGATACCTTAGCCAGCAACCACCTTCAGGACAAGGGTCAAATTTGTGCGCTGTTTACTAACCACTGTTACTAGCACCCGACCTCAGAGGTGCTCAAATATTTGTTGGCTAAATAAACAAATGGATGGATCCGCATGAGCAGCATAAGAAAGAAGCTTGATTCTGAACTCGGAGAAGTTCTTATTTGGTACACCAGCCCCTGAAACCACTCCCACACCTGGGATACTTGTATTCTTATCCGTAGTGGGCTGAATGATGCCCCTAAACATATATCCATTTTCTAACCCCTTGAACATGTGAATGTGACTTTA